AGAGAGAGAGAGAGAGAGAGAGAGAGAGAGAGAGAGAGAGAGAGAGAGAGAGAGAGAGAGAGACAGAAAGGCTGGACGATCTCGAGCGGAATCGTCGATCGATGTTTTTTCGTTTTTTTTTTGCTCTTTTTTCCATCGACGTTTCAGCGAACGCGGCCGTGATTATTTCGTATTACCGCCCCCGACGCCAAAAACGCGTCCCGGTACGCGGGGTGCATTCGCAAACGGCGAGAACGCATTCGCTATTCCCGTGCGGATTCGGTCACGAGCGCGGCAGCGATGCAGATTGAAATAAAAACTCGGCCAGCAGCCTCCCCCGCTTCTCCCTCGCGCGTTTCTTGCGCTTCCCGCTACGATCTACGATACGGGGATTCGCCGAACTGAAATTACACAGGGTAGCCGGGAACACAAACAACGAGCGGCATTCGCCGGATCGATCGATCCTGCCTTGTCGCGCGCCGAGACTAATAATAAAATCTCAGGTAAACCGTCTTACGTACGCGCGGCACGAGAGGGCTCGATCGTCTCTCGCTCGCGATCGGCGCCAAAAAGCGACTCGACTAATCTCGTCGCTGCCTTCTCTCGATAAGGAGAACAACATGCACGTGCAGCCACGCACCTTTACCATAACACTCGCTCGCTCTCCGGCTCCAGGTATCCCCGACGACTCTCGGACGATCCCCGGATTCTCGTTGCCGATCGAAATCACCGACGCGATATCCTCCACGCGGCTCTCCTCCAATATATCATTCTCCCTCTCATCGGGCCGGACCAGTTCCCAGCAAAAATTGTGCGCGTCCTTGTCTTTCTTTTTCTCTTTCTCTCTCTCTCTCTCTCTCTCTCTCTCTCTCTCTCTCTCTAATTATTTCTCTTTCTCGAATCCTCGCGTACCGAACTTTTACATCGTCGTCGCCGTTGTTTCTGACGACCCGACCGGGACCACTGATCTGGCTTATCGCCCGCGCACAGTCTACTCCGCGATCCTCAGTCGCGCACTGATGCACATACAGTCGAAGGACGCTCGTCGATTCGAGTGCCGCTCACGCCGATCATCCCCCTGATCATCACTGTCAGCGGTGGTGCTTCCAGCCCGAAACGAGCACTGCCGTGGCTGCTGCCGACGCTGCTGGAGGCAGCGTGTGGATCATCAGCGCGTCATTTCGCGGGGTGCAAAATTGGGACAGTGACAAGGCCAGCGGGGTAATGAGAAACGGGGTAGCAAAGAAACGGGACAAAAAGGAAGTCAAGAGCGAAAAGGAGGACAGAGTCAATCAGTTAGACAGGCAGACAGATAAGTAGATAGATAAATCGACAGGTAGGCAGACAGGGGTAGGCAGATAGATAGACAGACAGGCACAGGACGAAAAAGCACCGGCGGTGCCTCAGTTCAGAAAGGCTCGAGTCGACTGGCTGGCTGTGTGCACGAAAACTCGGAACGTGGCTGGCTTAACGTCCGCTCCGATCGGAGCTGCGGCGGGTCGAAGCTTGCGCAAGCTCTCTGCGTTCTCTTTCTTGCTGTCTTTCTCCCACGACGTCGGCATGGCGGAACGCTCCGTTCTACCCGCTGATCCCTCTGCCCCGTTTCGCTCCGGCCCTTCCATTTACGATGACTTTCATTGAACTGCTCGTTCCCCTGGTCTCCTGTCCTCCTCCTCTTCCTCCTTCTCTTCCTCCACCACCACCACCACCACCACCACCACCAACACCTCCTCCTCCTCCTCCTCCTCCTCCTGCTGCTGCTGCTGCTGCTGCTGCTGCTGCTGCTGTCGCTACCGCTGCCGCTCCACCGGCTACCCTGCGATGACCTATTGCACCTATTGCTGCCCCTGCGCTCGCGTCCTTCTGCGCGTTTTGTCGACCCTTATGCGAGGCGCTTGTGTGTCGCCCCCCTTTCTTTTTTATCTTACGGCACCACCGCCACCGTCTTTCTCTGTTCGCGCGCGCCGCGGCCTCGGGACGATGTTGGAGTGAGGGGGCAGGGGAGGAGGCGCAGGAGGGCAATCGATAGGCATGTTAACGCGCGTAGCGTGCTTATCGCGCGAATTTAGCGCTTCCGCTCCGTGAACATGCATGCAAACAGCCTCTATTAAAAATAAAAGCAGTCTCGCGCGCGCGAGCATCGCTCGCTCTACGCTCGTTGCTGCTCGACGCGTCGCAATTCACACCTGATGTATCGATTTACGAGCCGGAGGATTGTCCTGCGAGCGAGCAAGTTTCAACGTGGCGCGAGCTTTTCGCGGGTGCCTTTCCTCTTGTGTATGTGTAGGTTTTGTGTGCATATGTGTTGTGTGTACACACGCGATCTAGTCGAAAACAGCCGGCATGTCCGTTCTCCGCGTCACTCAGCTAAACCGTCAAGTAACCATACTCTGGTCCTGTGCGAGTTTCAATTTTCCAGGCCGCGGACACGCCGTCGAAATGTAACTCGCGCCAATTGGCGCGAATAAACACGCGCAGATCATTCCAGGCGCGAGCGTGGCATCGCGAAATCCGAGCCCTCTCGCGAAGTTTCACTGGCTCTCGATTCTCCTCTCCTCCTCTTGTAGGTTCTTGTTCCGACAGGGTCGTTTAAATGTTCGCGAGATAGACAGAGAGATTGAGAGAGAGTGAAAGAGATTGAGAGAGAGAGAGAGAGAGAGAGAGAGAGCGCATTTGAGCAGAGATCTCCGCGACTTTGTGGCGAGACAGCGAGCGAGCTGGTGCGGTTCAACATTAATTAGCGTTAAAATAAACTTAACCGGGCGCGAGATAGCTGCCATAACTTAAACCGTATTTATGGTGCACCCGCGCTCTAGTCCTGGTGCACGATGCAATCCTGAAACTCTCCCTCCGCTCGGGCGCGCGCTGTATATGCAATACCGTAATTCGGCCGATACTAAGTCTACGGCGAACGCGGGATTATCGAACCGCATTCTATTATAGCCTGGAACGTAATAAGCCGCGGGTATAAGGGAAGGTAATTAAGGGCGCATCCGAGCGTAATGCACGAAAAACTGATAATGGTGCACCTCCGGCCGTGAATGCCGGAAGACACGAAAGAGCACGAACAATAAGAACCAAGATAATCTGTCCGAAAAGCAGAGTGAAGAGATATCCGTCGGACGACCGTTGACATCGCTGAGAGGTCACAGAGGTACGCTTAATCAATACTTTCGGCTATATTAACCCTAATCTGGCACGCTGGGATCATTTTTAACTCCAACCGACTTCTAATTTTTAATCTCCCGCCCTCTAATTAAACGAGGACTTCCGTTTCTCGCGCTAAAAAAGAATTATAGTTAAGTAGTAGCTTAGTAGGAGCAATATTAAGTTTAAACCATAAACATTTAGAATAGATTGTGTATTGTTGCGGGAGGGATGAAGTCAACATTAAAAAGAAAGAGCAATAGAGAGTAAAACTCTTTCCTCTTTGCTTAATTGTTTAGTTGATACACATAACGAAGGAAGAGAAGCGATCATATAATCAATGGATCCTCTCTTTCTCTATATACATTCTCTCATTTGTTCTTTCTATATCGCCCTTTCATGGTGTACTGTGTGACAAAACTTAATAAGAATTAACAACTTATTGAATTTTATGTGAAAACACACATTTGACTTAGCGCTTATCTCTGTCCTTCAATCTTCTCATCAGCTGTCCAATAAAAGTGTGCAATCTATTCTATAAGTTTATGGTTCAAACACAATTAAGTCATTTTTATTATTTCTGCATATAAGAAAAAGGGTAAAGTTATTTTAGGATTGTTTTGGTCTTGTTTTGGACTTGTTTTGAGTCCGTTTGTAATGCCAGTGTGACACATTAACACATATCAAATAAAGATAAAATAAAAATACATGTAAGATAAAAATATAAAATAAAAATGATTTTGCATTATATATTGATTCTTTATATTAAATATAATATACAGGATGGCCCACGTAAAGTTAAAGTTTTGGATTGTCACACTTTACATGGGCCACTCATGTATATGTATGTATCTGTATAAGGAAAGATTTTGTATAAGTAGCTTATTTATTTTTATATTTTCACACGTGATCAAGATTTCCATACCGTCAAATTCTAATCATGGAAAGAAAAAAGTTCGTATATAGCTAATCTTTGTAATAATTTTAATAAAAATAAAAAACAAAAGTGATAATATGCATCGCTTTTTTTGTTTTAGAGACGAGAAAACCAATAATAATTGCGTCAATAATTGTCGGAATTGTTAGCAAATATGTCTCATAATTATAATTATTAAGAAATTATAATTATTCATAATTATAATTATTCATAATTATTAAGAAAAAAGTACTCAAAAAGTACAAAATCTATATATATATATATATATATATATATAGATTTTGTACTTTTTGAGTACTTTTTATATATATATATATATACACAGGGTATCTCACTCTCCTCCGGGCATTTTGTGGGGACGTAGAACGGGTTGAGATGAACATAAAAGTCCTATACCGTTTTGCAATAATTATCGAGATATTAATTGTAGAAAATTTGTGAATGATCATGTAGGATATGGTAAATGAATTATAATAGCGATGATTGTCGTCGCGTACTTATACTTTAGGTCAAATTGAACAAAAAAGTCTTCTACTATTTTGCAAATAATCACATAGATTTTTAATTATTAATTAAAAAAGATGAATGCATTATCACGCAAAATCGTGCAATAATCTTCTTTAATTAATCATTAAAAATCTATGTGATTATTTAG